GCGCCACAACCCCAGAGTCGGCCACGACTGGACCTAATGGTCAGTGGTCCCTTTACCTTTAAGAGGACTTTAAATCTACAGTGTGGGTCTGGCCACTAACTCTGAGCAAGGATGTAGGGCACCAGGCTGCACCACTTACTCTCATCAGGGCTGGAGCAAGATTGGAGCAACGGTTCTGCGAGACAAAGTCTTAACCACCAAGTTGCCTGCTCTCTCTGCCTCCCCCAGCCCCCAATTAAAGTTGTAAGTTTTAATGTAAATAAATTGCTGTGTTTGAGTGCACTGTATTGGAAACGCTGTAAAGGGGCGTTTACCTTAGACGAGAGGTTCCATTCCAGCAAAAGCGTCAGAGGAGGCTGGTATTTCTCCATTTCGGTACCTGATGACTCACCTCTGGAAACATGAGCTGGAAGCTGGAATTTGGGGAGCCATGGCATGTGCTTGCTGCAGATGGCAGTTGTTGCAGAAGTTCTGCATTGATGAACCAGCACAGGATCTCCCTCCAGGATGAGAGAGAGGGAAGTCCATTGAACTACATAAAGGACTGGAGCCCACCTCCTGTTTGCAATGTCTTTCTTTGATATTCTGCAGTGTTTCTCTTAGTGTGGCTAGTATTGAGATAAGTTCTGGAGCTCATTATCGTGGTGGAGAGATTTCATTTCTACACAAAGTCCAGATCAGGGACTAATGCCTCCCCCTCACCATGTAAAAAGCCCCCGTTTCTGGGGAGGGGGGGCTGTGTCTTTGAAGACGGGAACTGTGATGTCTACATCACAGTCAAGAGAGATTAGCAATAGCTGGGGAATGACTTTTATCCTAGAACAAGATTAGCCTTCCTGTCTATTCCAGAGGATTTGGGGCTTGCAGGCCAGCCGCCCATTTCCCAGAGTGGCCAGCAGATGCCCCTGGGAAGACCACAAGCCAGACATTTGCAGGGTGGGGGGGGTGTTAGCAGTTCTCTCCCACTGTTGAGCCCCAGGTAACTAGTATTCACTCTGGAGGTGCCATCATGACTAGTAGCCACTGTTCACCTTACACCACCACGCATTCCCCTAACCCCCCTTTTACTGCTATATTACACTTGCCGTATTTTTCGCGCTATAAGACGCACCCGACCATAAGACGCACCTAGTTTTAGAGGAGGAGAACAAGAAAAAAAATGTTCTCTCCCTCTCTGCTCAGCGTCTCTCCAGCAAAGCGGAAGGAGAAACAGAAGGGGCTCCATTTCTTCTCCCGCTTCGCTGAAGGGGCGCTGCGCAGAGAGGAAAAGCTGTGCAGTGCCTCTCCAGCGAAGCGAAGCCAGGAGAGCAAGAGGGATCGATCCCTCCTGCTCTCCTGGCTTCAGCGAAAGCTGCGCAGCCTGCATTCGCCCTATAAGACGCGCACACATTTCCCCTTACTTTTTAGGAGGGGGGAAGTGCATCTTATAGAGAAAAAAATACAGTATATTCCACCTTGGCCTCCATGGTCCCCCTTGGCTCCCCTCTATATTATTCTCAAAACTACCCTGTGAGGTACACACTGGTGTTAAGTTCGTCATAATTTCAGGACAAACTGCCTAGAGAATTTTGCTCCCAATCTACTGTTAACTTTTTCCTAGTCTGACACTCTAACCATTACACCATGCTGTCCCAAGTTGGTGAGCACTGGTATTGAAAACAGGTGTTGGAGATCACCTTCCCCCCCCCTGCCCCCCAGTCAGGAGAACCCTCTGAAGCCGTCATGGTTGCAGTTTTGAACAAGGCCTGAAGGAGCTTGCTAAGTGGCCTTGGTCCAGTCACTTTCCCTTACCCTAAATGACAGGGTTGTTGTGAGAATAAAGAGATAGGAAGAGAACTATGTGTAACAGCTTGAGCTCTTTGGAGGGAAAAGTGGGCTATAAATGTAAAAACAAACAAACAAATAATAAACTATTTCCTTTGCTCACACGGCATGGAATCCAGGCCCCTTCTGTTTCAACGTTCACATACCTGCTAAATTCTTTTCTATCCAATAAGGCTTATGCAGGCAATTAAGAACACACCTTTCCACAGCCTTTAGCTGATTAATAATGTTAACTTTAGGGACGCGGGTGGCGCTGTGGTCTAAACCACAGAGCCTAGGACTTGCCGATCAGAAGGTCGGCGGTTCGAATCCCCGCGACGGGCTGAGCTCCCGTTGCTCGGTCCCTGCTCCTGCCAACCTAGCAGTTCGAAAGCATGTCAAAGTGCAAGTAGAGAAATAGGTACCGCTCTGGCGGGAAGGTAAACGGCGTTTCCGTGCGCTGCTCTGGTTCGCCAGAAGCGGCTTAGTCATGCTGGCCACATGACCTGGAAGCTGTACTCTGGCTCCCTCGGCCAGTAAAGCGAGATGAGTGACGCAACCCCAGAGTCGGTCACGACTGGACCTAATGGTCAGGGGTCCCTTTACCTTTACTTTAATGTTAACTTTGTTATATAGCTTTTCTTGTATGGTTTTATGCACAATTGTTGTGATGTGCTCTGAGATTTTATTTATGCATCCAAGCAATGGCCTTCCAATGGCAGACCTGTTTCGTGCAGAAGATCTTAAACCCAGATCTAAAAAGCGAAGTTGCAATCGGAGAGCAGTTTGTTGCCTGCCTGGAGTGAGGAGAGAGGGCTACAGAGATCCACCGGCCTTGGAGGAAGGCAGGCAATGGGAGCCCAGGGACCCTGACGGTGCCTCTGGCTCCTTAACAGAGGAATCTCCTAGAGCCCCATTTGCCAGCTGAGCCCTCTTCCTCCCACATTGGCTGGACCTCAAATGAGTTATGCCCATCAATTGCCTGGCTAGTGGGTTTTTAAAAACTCTGATAGCAGTTTTAGTGGGACACTATAAAGCCACACTGGGGAGAGCTCATTTAGGTCTTTTAAATGTGAAAGCCCCGTCATTGCTACTGAAAGAGGCTGCCCTGAACACATGAATTTTCATTCATTTGAAAGCATTTCTACAGCAGCTATTGCTTTGGTCTTATTTATTGTAGCCATTTCCTCAAGGGCTTGTACAGTGCAGAGGTTGCTGATCCACTGAGGAGTCCTGGGTGCAAATCTCACACCACCACAGATTCACACTGAATGACACTTTCAAAGGGGGGGGCAGCTCTCTGCCGCTCATAATGCATTTTTTCCAAGTGGTGAATAAGCCCACCATTTAGGAAAGAGATTCCGTGCGCTGCTCTGGGCGTGCAACCCCAGAGTCATCTGCCACTGGACCTAACGGTCAGGGGTCCCTTTACCTTTCGGAAAGGGATTCAAACTCGGATTCCCCGGGCCCAAGTGAGGTCCCGAATCCACTCTCAGCTGAGGGCTAAGCACAGAAGTGACCACTCCCCACTCTCACACGCACACCTGCCCTTCCGTAAGGTTCAGGAGGGAGACGGTCCATGTGGGTCTGTTGTTCCGCCTGGGACCCCAAAATATGGGATGAAGCAGATCTGCACAGGCGAAGTGGACTAAGGGGAGGCCATGCCTCAATATCCGCACGCACACCCCTTTCCAAGCATTGAGGGACAGTGGCGTAGCGTGGGTTGTCAGAACCCGGGGCAAGGCAAGTAATTTGCACCCCTAACCCGTGGATTTGCGCCCCCTAACCCTAACCCCCAGATGTTGTGCCCGGTGCGGCCAGCCCCCCCTGCACCCCCCATGCTATGCCACTGTTGAGGGAGGCAGCAATGCCTGAAAGCATACGCACACTTACCTGTGGGTAAGCCCCACTGCACTCTATGGGGCTCACTCTTAAGACACCTTTGGGCAAGGAGGCACCTGTGGGCCCACCAGCCTCTCCTCGCTCTCAGCAGCCTCCCCATTCTCATTTGCAACCTGTCCAGGGGCGGCCCTGCCTCCTGTCCCATCAGCCCAAATGGACACCAGTAACCATGGGCATAGTGGGCAGGACATTCTTTCAGGCTGTTCTTTGTGGGAATGTTCTGGGGTGCAGGAAAGGATATATTGACTAATTATATCCTGATCCAACTTGTGCTAACAAGTTCCCAAAATATCAGCAGAGTTTACATACATTCCCCTTTAGTACGCAACGGTAACGTGTGCACAGGTTCGCTAGAACCTCTATAATAATTACCCTGGTAATTTCCCCTTTAGTTCCCTCTTAAAATACAAGACACGACACAGTCTTCATAAAAGTATAAAAGAGTTTACTCACGTCCTGTTCACAATGTGATCCCAGACGGCAGACAGGCTTAAAAAGGTTACATAGATTTAGAATCTATCTCATAGCAAGATAGGCCTTATCTCCTCTCTTGGCTGGGAGCCAAGAGGGCATCCTTAGGTGTTTCCTCGTCGAAGGAAAATTGCAGAGAGAGAGAGATGGCTGCCTGCCCTGTGCTTTTTGTCATCACCTGCACAGGTGAGGCCACACCCACCTCTAGTCACATGTGGAGGAAGTCCGTCCCCAGGAAGTTCACCTGCTTGCTGGACAGACATCCCCCCCATGTTCTAACATGTACACTCCAGGAATGTTGTCATTGACTGCTCCTCTGTTTACATCCCTTTGAGCAACTCTGAGCTGAAGTCCCTGAAAGGGCGGCTGTTGGACGCAGCGAACAATCAACTGCCCTTGGCCAAGGCTTCCCAGGTTCCCACCACCGCTCGCCCACAGGGTCTGGGGCGGAAGGCAAGGGGCAGCCTCGACCTCCGCAGAGAGAACTGGGCACCAGCTGCCCTTTCGCGTGGCAGCCCCTGAGCCAGACGGGCACCTCAAAGAGGGTTCCCAAGGTCCATTACTGAGCGCAGGTGAAGCTGTGGGAGTCCTTACATGGCAGAAGACTTACCCTGCGTTCGCTGCCGGCGCTCTGCACGTGCTCAAAGCAGGCCTCGCCCCAGCCACAGTTCAACCTTCCTCCTCACCACCACCCCGGACCAAACAAAGCAACCGCTGGAAACATGCCCAAGTCGGGGAGATGTAGGTCGTGGGAAGCCATTTCCTCTCGGGGTTCGCCCCCCCCAAAGAAAAGCAGCAACCCCGCCGCCCCGCCCCCCACTCACCTCCAGCTCTTTGAAGAAGATGCAGCTGCGCGCCCACTCCACGATGGCGAAGAGGGTCTGATCCGCCATCCTACACATGACGCCAAAGGCGCTGAGCTTCTCGTGACGGGCCTTGCTCTGCTCCTCCTGCAGGCAGGCCAGGATGCGGGCCTTGAGTTGCGCCTCGTCGGGCTCGTGCTGCAGCAGCTTCAGGATCACGTCGGGCAAGTCGCCCCCAGTGGCTGCGGAGCCGCCGCTGGGGTAGACCTCCGGGTAGGGGTATGGCGGGGCTGCCTCGTTTGGGTGCGTCGCGTATGGGTCCGGGAACTCGGACTTGATGGCCCGGTTGGCGAAGGACTGGTAGTGGTAACCCGAGAGCGGCCCGTGACCCGAGGGCACCGGCATGGCCAGCGCGGGCGTCCCGTAGGAGCTGCGCTCGTAGTCGACGGGCGCCATGGCGGTGGAGCTGCTTATCCCGCTGCCGGAGCTGCTGCCGCCGCCGCTGAGGGACGGGGGCAGCGCCTTTGCCACCCCAGGCTGCTGCTGGTGGTGGTGGTGGCTCAGGCCGTGCAGCGAGGCCGACAGCCCGCCGTACTCCGCCGCCGCCGCCGCCTGCACCGGGGACACGATGGGCGGCTGGGCGGTCTCCAGTTTGAAGCTGTTGGCGCGGATCAGCGCCTTCTTCTGCTGTTTCATGGCTCGGTCCCGCTTGTACATGGGCCCGAACTTGTTCCGGCCACCCCGCATGCGGTCGGCGCGCACGGCTGGAGGGAGGAGGGAGGGAGGAGAAGAAGGAGGAGGGGGAAAGGGAGAGAAAGCGGGGAAAAGGCGTCAGACAAAATCCGACCAGGAAGGCCCAGGCTGCGTTCAAACGACTGCACGCGGGGTGGGGGAACGCCACGAATCTGGCCCCTGCTCCGCCCCGCTTTGGCGACACTGCAGGTTGCGTGCACTCACTGTGACTTTGAAACACGTTTGAATGTAAACAGGGCGTGCTGGCTAGCCCTTTTAATGCGCATCTGAACACTGTGTGGATGCTAGACCCTCGGGGCTTCAGGGGGAAGAGGATGACTGCAGGAGGGTCCTAGCGAGGGGGACGGAGCGCGTGGTCCTAGGCGTAAAGGCCCCTTTCCCCTTTCCCTGTTGTTATTTCGCGCCACTGCCCGCGCCGCGACCCTCGAGCAGAGCGCAAGAATGTGTCACGGTTGTGAAACCCGCGCAGGTGCTTCTCTGCTGACCTCCCCCGGGCTCCATCCCCGATGCCGACACTGTTCCCAAAAGCGCAGCAGCTGCCTTGGAAGCGCGCCCTGGAAGCGAGCGCTCTCCTCCCCCGCTTCCAAAAGAAGAAACTCGCCCCATATCCCACCTCCCGCCCTAGTCCCTGAGAAGAGGGGAAGCGGGAGGGAGAAGCCAGGAGAGGCTTCCAGCCGCCAAGAGCGACTCCCACGAACCCGGGAGAAGAGGAGGCCCGGCCATCCCGCGGGGTCCCTTGGCAGAGGACGCGGCTTCGCCTCCCACCTTCCTCCGGAGCGAGGAAGGAAGGCAGGCGGCGGCGGCCACTGGCCGCGGAAACGCCTCTGCCGAAGCTCCTCCTGGGGCCAAGGGCCATTCGGGGCTAGTAAGCCCGAGCTACTATTAAAAGTTGAAGCCGACTTGAAAAGGAGGAACGACGTGCTCAGGTGTTAACTTTCTGGAGCTCCTTGTTCCTACTTTGGAGGGGGACCGACCCGCCCCATCTGTGCGCCCCAGCGGTCTGCGCATGAGCTAGAAGCCAGCGGCCCAGCCAGCAGCTGACATCTGGAGGTCCAGCCAAAGACCTCGGTGGTCCGAGATGCTTTTCTGGCGCTGCCCTTCCTCCAGGTGTATCTTGGAAGCAGGCTTCTGGCGCAACAGCCCCCCCAAGCTCGGAGCGCCGGGGATGAGGGGCCTGCGGCTCTCCAGAGGCTGCTGGAGCCTGGGGACCACATCTGGAGCGGAAGAGGCGCGCCAAAACTCAACTCCTCACCTCGGTCTGGTTCCTACTTCAGCGAGAACTTCTTGGTTTATGCTGTGTAATTTATTGGTTTCTGCATTCGGAAATGGTGAGCCGCCTTGGGTTCCTTGGCCAGAAAGGCAGTGCGTTACAAATTAAATCATTCAGAAAGCTGGGGAAGGGACCTCCCAGCGAAGTCCCACCAATTCCTGCAAGCCGGTCGACGGGAAATGAGAATGGGGAGTTCAGGTGTGGTCGACCCCCCCGGCCAGTCACCGCTTGTCACTCTAGCCTACCTCGCAGGGTTGACGTTAGGATTAGATTGCGCCACTCTGGACGCCACGTGGATGCCACATTGAGCTCCTCCAAGGAAAAGAGGGGATATAAATGCAATTAATTAATTAATTAATTAATTAATTAATGAATAAATAACACCCGACCAGGGTGTTGTGTTGGAATGTGTGCCCCTCCTTCTCTTTCGTTCCCTTTTTCGTGCGCCTATTTGCTCCACGCAGAAGAACAGAAGAACGTGGGGCAGTTGTCTTATGCCAAGTCAGTCTATAGAGTCCTGGTCTATAGAGCTTAGTATTGTCTACAACTGACTGGCAGCGTCTCCTCGTGAGTCTTCTCCCAGCCCTGCTTGCTGGAGATGTCCCTGGGGTCTAAGCCTGGGAGACCTCCTGAACTATAGCCCTTCTCCGCCCCTCGCGGCGACCCCTGGCGGATAAAGCCACGCGAAGCCCACCAGACACGGGCAAGGCTAAGGCCAGTCGCAAGGCATCAAAGCGTACGGGCACTCTGCATGCGCTCAAGGGCACTGCAGTGGTATTGCTAGATGGGATTAAATAGGGGAGAACCCTGTACCTCTGCCACCTTAAGCTCCTCGGAGAACGAGGTGGGATACAAATGCAAACAAAGAAATATTTTGGACTACAACTCCCATCAGCTGGGGCTGAGGGGAATTGTAGCTCAGAAACCTCCGGGGTGAGGCCCAAGGTTTCATCACAGCTGCTCCGCCAAGGCACAGAACAGAAGAATCTGGCGGACACTGGTGTCCATCTAACGCACCGGTATTGTCTGCTGTGCTGGCACCAGCTCTCCGGCCAAGGGTCCTTTTAAGGGGGGTGGGGGTGCCAGGGATTGAACCTGGAGCCTTTGGCATGCAAAGTGGGGGCACTTCACCACCGAGCAGATCTCTCCCCCCCCCCATGGTGCCTGCTGTCAGCCAGGTTCTGCGCAATGGGCGTGCCCAAGGGACTCCAGTGAGGCCCGCATCCCAGTCCACTGCGTGGCCGACACTCAGTACTGCTCAGGATAGAAGGCTATTTCCTTGCAACGGTAGAAAAAGCTGAGCACCCGCCGGAATAAATGTCCGGACTGCTGGGATTTAAACAAAAAACAAATCTGAATACAGTATTATTTTTATTCCTTTCCCCTGGGATCTCTGGAAAGGGAAGTGTCCGCTAGGGTTGTAACTTTTTTACAACCTCATGTTCCTGTAGCTTAGTTAGATGAACTTTTGCCTAAAAACAAAGGAATGAACTGTCATTTCCAAACCTTTTGAAAAAAGGTCACCCCGAAATCAATACATCGATTTCTGTATATGTAACTGTATACTGTAATGTATTATGCATAGCATGTATACAGGAAAAATGGAGCTTGCAAATTTTCTAATACATGTACAATGTTTTTATACATGGTCCATCACTTCTTATTGCTGAGAATAAATTGAGGATCTTGTGCGACATTGTAATGATTATGATTATATTTATACTCTGCCCGTCCAACTGGGTTTCTCCAACCACAATTGTATATTGCCACAGAAAGAAATATTAAAAATTAAGAAGTTTAGTTGTTTGTCCAGAAATCTTTCCATATAGACCAATATCTGGATTCTTCTTGAACATTCTCAGCAGTTTTAGGAAGTTCCAGGCAGCTGTAAAAGTTATAAACAGTTCCATGAAGCTTTAAAAAGTGCTCATAGTTATGAGTAGTAACTTTACATATACAATGTTTCCAACTTTTCATTTCAGGGCAAGCTTTTTCCATAACTGAGAATAATTAGTCCCTTTTCAGTGTTTTTAAGCAAAAGTGCATCCCTTTATGATACAGGAAATTGTTATACCCCTACTGCCCACACAAACACACAGACACCCCTTCTTGGCACTGCCTGCTTTCATCCACATGCCTTGGGATATGTGTGGAGGGTGCTTCTGAGCATGTACAAAGTACCCCCCATACACGAAAACCCTATCTCCACCGGCTTATCACACAGCTCACCCATGAGCGTGCCTGAGTCTGGATGTGCAAATGGAGAGGGTGAGGAGTGTAGAAAAACAGTCACCCTTAACCAAATTTGAAAATTGCAATGGATAGAGGAGGGAAGGGATTAGATGTTAATTATACTCTATATTGCTTAATGTAGGTTATCAATGGATCTATGGAACCCCCTCAAAAAGATATGGGAACTAGATATTTGCACACAAATTATTCCCAAGGATGGGAATAAAATTAGGGGATCACAGCCCTTAAAAATCTGCTTCCAGATTTCTTTGGGAAAACTCCTTGAAATTATTGCACAGATCTTATTGCACTCCTTTGCAAATGTCAAAAATATTTCCTTCTTTATCACCTACTAGTTGGAGGGACTGCAATAAACTTCGTACATATTACCATTTACTGTAATTTGGTGCAAGATTTTTGGAATTTATTCTTGACATGAATGATAAATATTGCTAAAGAAACTATTGTTCGTTGCCCAAAATTAATGTTACTGAATATTTTTGATGATGCAAATGTAAATGTATTGTCAAAAGAAGTGGTCTTATATATGACCTTGGCCGCATGAATAAGACAGTTTGAGCATATAATGCCAACTGTGGCTCAACTGGCTGCCACTTAGTTTTCGGGCCCAGTTCAGTGCTGGATTTGACCTACAAAGCCTTAAATGGCACAGGAGCACAACTCGTCAAGGACCACTTCTGTCCAGAAGCTCTGAGGCCCTTCTTCACGTGGCCCCTCCACCAGAGGTCCAGAGGGCGGCAAGATGAGAAGGGGCCTTTTCTGTGTTGGCTCCCCACTTGTGGGACGCTCTCCCCATGGGGGGGGGGCTAGCCTGGTGCCATCTCTACATATCTTTAAGTGCCAGGCAAAAACACTCCTCTCCAGCCAGTTTTTAGATATGCTGTAAGCCACCCAAAGTGGCTGGGGAAACCAAACCAGGTGGGGTGAGGTATAATCATCATCTGTGGCCTTTTAAGCTGTGGGGAGATATTGTTTTTTAATTGTTACTAAGGAGTGTGTTTTTTGAGATTTTATATTGTACACTGCCCTGTGATCCTGGGATGAATGGCAGTCTAGAAATGTAATTAATTTATTAATTAATATTAATAATAATTGCAACTCAGTGGGAAACAGCCCAAAATCTTACACTGGACGCTTTGTACCACACTACTCTGGGATACAGCTTTAATGGAGAGAAACGCACATATTTGAGATTTTTACAACGAGTAGAACCTCCGGACACTTTATATGATTTGGCATTGCTTTGTGACATAGGCAACAGAACCATCCTGTTCAAGACGACCCCCCCTCCCCCGCAAGCCTGGCAACTATGGAACTAGCCTTCATGATCTGATAAAACTGGTAGCCTTTACTTGGGGTTTCTTGAAAGGGTTCCCCAGGGGTCATCTAGTCCAACCCCTGGAATCACAACTACGGAACCCCTGACAGGTGGCTCTCCAGCCTCCGAGGAGGCAGAGACCACCACCTCCCGCGGGAGACCCTTCCACCGTCGAACAGCTTTGGCCGTCAGAAATTTCTTCCTGATTGCTGAGTCTGAATGAATCTCCTGCCTTGTCGCTTGAAACCATGAGTTCGGGTCCTGCCCTCCGGAGCAGGAAAAAACAAGCATGGTCCATTTTCCATGCGACAGCCCTTTAGGTATTTGAAGGTGGCTCTCACGTGATCTTTCTGTGTGTTTATTTTTATCCTGTTTTTATTATTTGAAACCCCAATTGGTTCCCGGAGACACGTCGTGTCCTTCCAGACCTAGACTACTATGCTGTTGGAGCAGGCCTCCCCCGGGACCCGCGCCCAGCCTCGCCCCCTCCTTTCCACCCCATGGAGGAATTCGCTTTCACTTTATGTCGCTCAAAGCCTGCTCTCCAGGCCGCCCTCCGCTCTGCTCTCTAAGGCAGGAAAGTCCCCGAACATGACAGCAAACCCGCAGCGGAAACGGAGCTGGGGAGTCGGGTTTTAAACTGGGAGTACCAGCAAATAGTGTGCATTGAATCGGTACTGCGGCTTTTTAATCGCCTAGGCTCTAAATGGGAATTATACCAGTCTTCAGATCACTCAGTGGAAACAGAGCTGGGAAGTCGGGCTTTAAAAGCAATATAAAAATAAATGCGGGGTTTTTTTCCCCCAGGACTTCTCCAGCAAAGCGAGCCGAGCATCAGGAATTGGGCCTGGGCAATGAGACGGGGGCGGACGGGACCCCCGCCAGATTTTATTATCGCCCTAGTGCTATCTCTTAAAGTCAGAATTATGACGCGGGTGGGGGCGCGAAATGCTCTTTGGACATAAGAGCGTCAGAAGAGGCTGCGCAGGCATTTTGCCTCAAGAACATAAGAGGAGCCCGGGGGGGGGTCCAGTCCCGCATCCTGTTCTCACAGTGGCCACCCAGATACCCCCACGGGAAACACGCGAGCAGGATCTGAGCACGTCTGAAAGCATTGCTGCCATGGATAGCCTTATAATCCTGCATGAATTCGTCCCGCCCTCTTTTAAAGCCTTCCAGTTGGTTACTGAGGAACCACAAGAATACTGTCATCATTATCTGACTTTCCCAGTGATAACGGCCTTAGGCTCAAATGGAACAGGGAATTAATAGTAATAAGGATATTGTGGCTTGCAACTAAGATTGACAGCACAGGCAGGAAAAGCACTCGGCTCCTTTGCATTTTACAGGGTCTCACTTCCAAGAGTCCTTGCAGGTAAGGTCCCTGCCCTTCTTCTAGAGACCCACACGGGACACATGGAAACCCAGCAGAAGGAGAAGCGGGGGGTTGCTAGGGGACCGGGTGGGTAGAGGGGAAAGAGGCTAAAGATATAAAGGAAGCAGATCTAGAACATCTCAAAAAGCCTCTTTTAGACCGCCTGGCACTGTTCTTTGGGTGGCCGCTGTGCGTGGAGGCGCGCTCTTTTCAAAAACGCGCTTCCTGGCCAAGGAAGGTGTTGCATTCTCACGACCTAGGCAGGAAATGCATGTATACCTATATGTTTTGCTTCCTCGTCCCCTCAGAGGTAGAAAAGCAACGGGGGCTAAGAGGGGGAACGAGGAAGAAAATTGGCCGGTAGGGCTCACGTCGCCAGTCTTTCCACCCACTCCCACTCCCGCCCACGTCAAGTCCCACGTCCCCACGTCCTGTTTGGGCCGGAGCGAAAGCCCTCCTGGCCGCGCTTAGCTCAGAGGCGGCAGCATCCAGGACATAGGCTGGATGTCAGGATCCCTCCCCGCCCGCTTGGCAGAAGGCGCTTTCGCGTCCGCACCTACCTTCCGTGTTGCAAAGACTCGCCCCCCTCCCTCCCGCCCAAGACTCTGCCCACGGAAGTCACCTTCGAGTTTCATGCCCACCACGAGGCACTTCTGGAAGCGGCAGTAGGGACACCTCTTGCGCTGCGTCTTGTCGATCTTGCAGTTCTGGTTCTCCGTACACGTGTAGTGCTTGCTGTTCTGCACGGTTCTCTTGAAGAAGCCCTGAGGGAAAGATGTGCGGGGGGGGGGAGTGTGAGAAGTTCAAGGAGCCTGGAAGCGCGAAGAATTCCCCACAAACGGGGGTCACAGGTGGGTCCCACACCCCTCGCCTTGCAAGCCCCGCCCTGCCCAATGCAGCTTTCACTTGGGAGGAGGATTCAAACATGCGCTCTGAGTATGCCCAGTGGAACGCTCGCTTTAGTGAATTTGCCAGAGCTTCCAGACCAGAGCCTATGATTCTGAGGAACCTCGCAGGGAACTCCCCGGGTGCGGGCGGGAGAAGAGTACATGACCTGCGGCCCTTCTTCTTGTCAGCCGATTAACATTCTGTGTCCTTTTAAAGGTGTTTTTGAGAGGGGAGTTGTTTGCTTGTTAGTTTATGCTTTATTATGTATTTGTGCCCTCATTTTGTGTTTTTTCTGTTGTGAACCCCCCTGGGATCTTTGGATGAAGAGCACTATACAAATTTAATAAATAATTGTGCTGCTTCCGGGTTTAGATAGCTAGCTCTGGTCCTTGTCTCAAAACCCAGTTCCCTCTGGCGCTCTTTGGGACACAAGGGGGGGGGCAACTGGGAAAGCGGCAGGGTGGAATCGGGAGACCTGAATGCGTGTGAGAGTGTACCCCAGGACACGTGTACCAAAGCATTATGATCATCAACTCTGCTCTGGGAAGGGCGACTGAAACCATTTCTGCATCCTTTATCTGAGGGACTGTTCAAGGAACAGCAACACTGCAAAGGGGAGACCACCCTGGCCCCATCCGTGGGCCAATCGGGGAGCAACTGCTCCAACACTTGCTTTCCTCTGCCTTCCGCGTTGTTTATTTCTTTTGTGCTATGTCTCTCTGATGGTGAGTCTGTCGGCATAGACTGTTTTTGTCTTTACAGTGGTACCTCAGGTTAAGTACTTAATTCGTTCCGGAGGTCCGTACTTAACCTGAAACTGTTCTTAACCTGAGGTACCACTTTAGCTAATGGGGCCTCCTGCTGCTGCTGTGCAATTTCTGTTCTCATTCTGAAGCAAAGTTCTTAACCTGAAGCACTATTTCTGGGTTAGCGGAGTCTGTAACCTGAAGCGTATGTAACCTGAGGTACCACTGTACTTTATACTTTTGGGCCCTTTGTAAGATGGTAGTGATACTGTTCATAATCATAAATCCATTTAATTTCCCTTTGATTTCACACTTAACGTCCTCTCTGTCTTTCAATGGTTTTATCTGTGTGCTGCCTTTCCAAAGTTAAAACCATAATTCAAGGCAGCTTACAACATGTAAAAACAACAACACAATTACAAACATTACAAAAGTAGTCGTAAACAATAAACAACAATCTCTAAACAATACCACAACCCAAGAGTCATGTCCCCATATGCATCTGATGAAGAAGATTATACCATCTTAACTTTTTTGGTCTTAGCAGTTCAGGAAAATGGAAATCTGCCTCATACCTAGGCAGAACTTTGGTTCACCTGGCTCAACGCTGCCTGTATGGACTGGTAGCAGAGCTCACGGAGTTTTGGCAGGGGACGTTCCCACCCTACTGGGGATCGAACGTGTGGCTTTTAAAATAAAATAATAGCTTCCATGTTTGGATGTTTGCTTATTATAAAGTACCTGTTCTAAATTATCACAGTTTGGAACTACATGCAGAAGACCACACATCGCACCAGGAGTTAAAATAATTATAATAATAATATAATAATATAATATAATATAATATAATATAATATAATATAATATAATATAATATAATATAATATAATATAATATAATATAATATAATATAATATAATATAATATAATATAATATAATATAATATAATATAATATAATATAATATAATATAATATAATATAATAATATAAATCACACATGAGGCAGCTCGGAAATGGAAGAGGAAGACTTTTGAGCAAAGAAGGGATGGAGCAACGATGAGAGGGGGGGAAATGCGGAGCAACCGGGGAGTTTCAGGGCTGGGGGGGCAATTAACGTGGCACCCCGGACCCCCCCCAGCACTTGATAGCAAAGGGTACGACTCCCATCACCCCTAACCAGTCCGGTGGCCATGCTGGCTGGAGCAGAGGAGAACTGGGGGGCCAGGGACCCCTTTGGGGACCACAGCTCCAATAATAATTAGCGTCTAATCAATCTGTCCTATTCTGGCCCCCACCATCGCCCCCACCCCGACTCCTATCAAGGAGGGGCGACAAGAACCCAGAACTCTGAGGTCCAGCTCCGAGGGCCTTCTGGCGGTTCCCTCCCTGCGAGAAGCGAAGCTACAGGGAACCAGGCAGAGGGCCTTCTCGGTGGTGGCGCCCGCCCTGTGGAACGCCCTCCCATCAGGAGATGAGTAATTATATAACATTTATGAAACATCTGAAGGCTGCCCTCTACGTATAGGGAAGCTCTATAAGGTGTAATGTTTTACTGTGTTTTACTATGTGTTTATATATACTGGAAGCCACCCACAGAGTGGCTAGGGCAATCCAATTAAATGGGCTGTGTAAAAATAATTTTATTATTATTATTATTATTATTATTCCATCACCACCTCCACATAAGGAGGAGAATCACATTATATTGCTATTATTTAAAATAAAGCACATTTCAGCGACTCATTTTGTCTCGTGAACTTCTGCAAGCCGCCGGTGACGTCACAACCTCAAGCAATTAAATAAAAAGATCTTCGACTCAGAATAAGGTGGGCGGCTCAGCTGCGGGGATGAATCCCTAGAAGAGGTGGCCTCACCCTGGGGAAAGGGAGCCTCAAGAGCGCGCCTCTTCTCAGAAGGCAAGTCGCGCACAGTTCCTCGGTTGGCTCCACCGCCCCGGCCCCCTCGCCTCAGCCCCGGCACCTGTCTGCAGATACCCCAGGCCCTGCCATATTCTGCCTCCTGGAATCTAACCTTCAGCCAGGATGTTAAACTGCAAGAACCACGCGGGAGGAGGGGGAGCAGTGCCGGCTTACCACACAATTGTTAATTCTGAAATTCAGATTGCTGTAAACCGCCCTGGGACCTACTGGTGAAGAGGGAGCGATACATTTAATAATCCTAATTATAATTCTGGAGTGTAAGTGAAGGAATACACTTTTTTCCAGGCAGAGACTGAGACAGGGTGGCAGATGTTTCTTAAGACTAGAGTCTCTCTCAGGACCTAACTGGCACCCTCCCACCCACCCACCCCCGCAAGGCGCTTAGGGCATTGTCAGTCCCCTCCCTTTCGCTGGTGGTGAGGGTGGGGGCGATCGCATAGTTCAAGCTGGAGCTGCCGATTCTCCCCCCCCCCACAGACACACATGATGGGGGGGGGCACCTCCAGAAGCTTGAAGAGACTCCATGGGCCTTGGCCTTCCTTTGTGGGGGCCTCACGACAAATGTGACAGACATACCCCGAGACGCATCCTGGTAAACTGAGGCTCTGGGCCTCTCCCTCCCCCACCTTCCTCGGTCCCACAGTTAAGGCAGGAATCTCAAAAACACCGTCTCAAAACAAGCAAGCAAGCAAAAACACCGTTAGGGACAGCAAGGGAGGACGCGGGAACTGGAAAGAAACTAAACCGAACTGAACGAAGAAAAACAGAAGGACGTCAGGCAAATAAATAAATCCACAAAGCAGAAAAATGACCAAGAACAGGGATGCCGTTGCCGGGTGTCATCATCCGGCAGGGGGTGGAGGGCAATATTCAATATTCGCCTCGCCCCCCACCCCAATTTCTCCTTAACCCTTCCCGCACCCGCCGCTTGCAAAGCGGCCCTTCCCAGCAGGGGCCCAGCCGAGCACCGTCCTCTGGCGGCCTCCGGAGACCCCTCTCCGTTCCTGGAGAGAAGGACGGAGCGCGCCAGCCGGGTCTGGTCCTGAGCACCGCCAGGCCTTTTGCACAGAGGGGCCGAGGGCAGCGCTCCGGGGCTCCATTCGGTTCCCCCCCGCTCGGCTCCTGGGAAAGAGGCGCGCAGGGTCCTCGCGCGTCTTTCGCGCAGCCATATATTTCCCCGCGCCTAAAAATTTACAATTTCTTGGAAAATAATTGCCCCTTCACATCCACACCCGGACGTCCACACGCTGCTCACCGGAAAGTGTCCCCAGATCCCCAGCCGCCAAACTCGCCCCTAGGTTCAGTTTTCGGTAGGCACTTAATAATATTAACTGCTAAGACTTGCGGTTCCCCAAAATACGAATTTCCTTCTTTGAATCACCTTTTGGGAACTCCAGACCGGGATGCATTTTCCGGGACACATTTCCTGATCGAGTCGCCCTCAAATCAGTCGATTTCGTTTATTCCGGAAGCATTTTATTCATTCTCAGAAAAGATTTCCAAAGAATTCCTACCGCGCATTTTCGAAAAGAGTTTTAGGGACGAAAAGGCCGCGCAGGGGAAGCATTTGCCCCCCCGGCCCCCACCCCCTCCCCGGAACAGACTTAGGGAACCTATCGCTCCTGAACGGGAATGGCATCAAATCGGCGTTACATGCGATTTTTGGCTCCGGATCACGGACTCCTTAAAACTCGCCCTCCGTAAAATCGGGGTTCGAGGAGAAGTGATAAACATTCGCAGTCCTCTAAAATATCACAAATGATCGAAAACAAAAACCCCAAAGGAACTGAGGCCGTATTGTGGGTTCTACAGGGCGAGCGTTGTGGGGCTGCGCGACAGAGATGGGCCCCAGAAAATTAAGACGAGGGAAGCTTCTACAGGTCGGAATATGTACCGGGATTTTCAACAGAATATGGTAAGGTTCTGGGATTAATTAAATACTGTTCGGAAGCTCCGGGTAATCCAGAGTTCGATGAGGATGGCTTGGTGCTTAAGAAAAATACGTTGAACAATAATTTTGGAGCTATTTTAATCAATATAATTATTTGCGTCTATGTTGCTCATATTAGTAGCATGGCTTAATTTTAATGATTAACTTTAATAATAATGAAGCAGTTACCACTATTTCAGATAACAATGAAGCAGTGATAGCGATGATAATTCAAATTTTGTTTGCGTCCTAATTATTTTCTTTTCAGTCCTGTTCTCGCCATTTTGCCCTGCAAATATTTGTAAACCCCGTCCCTATCCGAGAGATGAAGCTCTTTTGAATACGCGCGTCCAGCGTCATGTATTAAAATACGCCACCATAATTTTCTGCACCGACGGTTTTGCTCCGGGGTGTTTTAGGGCGCTGCAGTTAAGACGCCCAGGGCGATATCCAATTTTCAATGAGGCATTTATTATGGTAATCCCACCCGGGGGTCATTATTCAGTCGGCGGGTGGAGCGGAGTTCGTTGGGGAAGGGGGAGCCTGCAATTTTTTTAAAGAAGGGCATCCGACCCAACAAGCCCACGCTGCTGCCCTGAAACATTTTTGGGGTCCAAATTTGGGGATCCCTGATCTCAAAGCTCTCCCCTCTCTCCTTCCTAAGAAGACGACCCCTAAGCCCCTTTCTCGGCTGCGGGAGGCAGTCCCGAGCCGGTCGCTGTCCCTCGACGGCCAGCCCTTACCTTGCAGCTCTCGCAGGTGAGCAGCCCGTAGTGATAGCCGGATACCTTGTCCCCGCAGACTGGGCAAAGCTCGTCCAGATCATCGTCGTAGGTGTAATCCATCATCTCTGGGAAAGTAGGAGAGGCGGGCAGCGTCTGAGCCTTAACCGGCGGTGATGGCGGCGGCGGCGGGACCGGGACCTAAGGGGAGACTGGCAGCGGGACCGACCGAGCGACCGATGGGCAAGGGAGGGCAGCCGCCTATGTAGCTGGGCGAGGAAGACTGTGCTTGCCCAGTCTCCTCCGCCGCCTCTTGAGGCTTGGGGGGTGGAGGTGGGGTGGGGGTGGGCGGGAGTAAGAAGCGCCCAGCCGGGGAAGGAGGGCGCTGAGGAGTGGAGAGTTAGGGCTCCACTATACCCGCGGGGTGGGGCGTCGGGAGTCAGAACCCCCACCCACCCAGTGGGGGCAGGGCTTCCCCCCACCGCGGCCTTTGAGCAGATCTCCGCTTGCCCCGCCTCCTCGCGCAGCCCGAAGTCGAAACGTCCCGTCCTCATCAGCCCAGCTCGGGACTGGCTTCCATGGACTTGTGGCCCCGACGGGGCGCACCGGCTACTCAGGAGCAGCGGCAGAGGCAAAGGGGCTACACTGGCTCCCAGGACGTTTCCAAGCACAATTCAAAGTTTTGGTGCTGACCTTTAAAGCCCTAAATGGCCTCAGTCCTGTATTCCTGAAGGAGCGTCTCCACCCCCATCGTTCAGCCCGGACACTGAGGTCCAACTCCGAGGGCCTTCTGGCGGTTTCCTCGCTGCGAGAAGTGAGGTTCCAGGGAACCAGGCAGAGGGCCTTCTTGGTGGTGGCGCCCGCCCTGCGGACCTCCCTCCCCCCAGATGTCAAGGAAATAAACAACTACCAGACTTTTAGAATACACCTGAAGGCAGCCCTGTTCAGGGAAGCTTTGAATGTTTAATAGACTATTGCATTTTAATACTTTGTTGGAAGCTGCCCAGAGTGTCTGGGGAAACCCAGCTAGATGGTTGGGGTATAAATATTATTGTTGTTGTTGTTGCTGCTGTTGCTGTTGCTGTTACTACTACTATTATTACTATTACTACTACTACTACTACTACTACTACTACAACTACTATTACAAGAAGTGAAGAAAGGACTGAGAAGGACAAAGCGCGTGCGGAAGGGCACTTGGGGGCTGGTTTCCACCCACCCACCCCACGCGGGAGTAGTTGCCACGGGACCACCCCCCAATCCCTCCTTCCCTAGCAAAGCTCTCTCTCCCCCCCACGCAGCCCCCGCACAGCTAGGGCCCCGATGCTGTCCTGCCCTCCCCCCCAACTCCAGACTGAAGCGACCGAAACTCTGTGCTCCACGGGGGTATTCAGCGGCCTTCTCCTCTTGGAGAGTCTCCCTCCGGGTTTGCTTTCCCTCACCCTGGATGGTTGGGTGGGTGCACGCGCGCGTGACGTCGACCGGGCCTCCCCAGCGGCGCGCTTCGCTCCTCACGGTCAGCCCGGGGAACTGGCCTCAGCCCAAAGCGCGCAGACTGCGCCGCCGCGGAGATTCAGCCGGGCCGGTTCGCCTCGGCCAGGAGAACTCCTGGATTTCAGGGGAGTCCGGGACCGAGCAAAAGACACCGAGTCAGTCACTGCTGCTTAATTTGAGATTGGGGGAGGGAGGAGGGAAAATTAAAAAAAAACCCCCCCCTCATTTAAAAAGTGTAATTCATCCTTTCGGAGGGACTTGATAAAATGTTTCGGATTTTTTTCAGAAAAGACTCGTTAGCATCTTTTCTTTGCCTGCGTTGAAAGAGAACACGCGTCAGCCGGAGAACTTCGTGCCTCTACCGCCGGTGGAAATAAAACGGGGGCGGCGGTTTTTATTTGTTTTCCCCGCGCCCAGCCTCATGTGCCGTTTTTATTTTCTTCCAGCCGCTCAGCAAATCACGCTCCAAATTATTAGAGATTTGGGTAATTCGGAAGGCGGGGAGAAATATCAATGTTACTGTTATACCATAACATTATATACTTAAATATACTATATTACAATTCATAGCATGCTTGTAATACATTATCAATTATAATGTTAACATAAATTATAAGGTATGATAATTATGTAATAATATATTGAGGGCAGAAGACATATAAATATTATAGTTGTTATGCAATATTGTGTTATATAATTTATAACACAGTTTGTAAGATATCATAGTAATGTTAATACGAAAAAATATCATAAAATATTTATATATTACTATTATTATTATATATTCAGAGGATACATTAAAATCATTGTTGTTATACTATGTTTGTATACTATACATTTTATATAATATTATAATTTTTACTTTGTAACATATTATAAACGGTAATTATGATAAAATATTGTAATGTATTAATTTTATTATTGTGTAATAATAATATGGTAAGCCACCAGCGCGTTATGCTCTCGGGCAGCAGCCGCAGCACACGCGCATCGCCAATAGATGCATTAAACATGATCATCATAACATAAAGACGCGCAGGGAGACGGAGGGTCGGCGCGGCAGGGGCGGAGGAACGCGCCAAACAAACGTCCCATAGCAAGCCTGAAAAAAGGATTTCGAACCACCTTCAAACGAGGGGATGAGCAATTTAAAATAACGTGTTCCTAGTATTTTGTCTTTTTTAACGCGGTGATGGGGAAATCCATGCAAGAAAAGAGAGTGGCCAGCGCAGCCCCTCTTTCTGCAGCGGTTCTCCCTTTTGCACAAGAGTATTTCCCCCAACCAGGTCTCCTCTGGGGGCTGCTGATGCGCTACGGGGCGCAGAGGAGAAGGACCAACGCGGATCATTGGCGGAGCGTCCGCCTGGCGCTCAGGACGTCCTCATCCCGCTCAGCGTCTCCAAGCAGGGCTGAGAAAGACCCTCCTTGGCTTGGAGAGCCTCTGAGGCGCTGAGCAAGGCGGACCCAGGTGTTTGGTTCGGGTTCTGAAGGCCTCCAGCATCCCCGGGAACGTCTACCGACAGACTGAAGCGCTCCCGCCTGGCTGCGCTCTTCGCCTGCGCTCTTCCTCGGCGTGCGCGCCACTCTCCGGCAGGGCCAGCTGCGCGTCAAACTCTCAACGTCCCTGGCCATTGTCCGTGCTTCCCCGTGGGAGTCGGAGTCCCACCAGGCCGAAAGGGCCAAGAGATCCTCGTCAGAGGCCGGGAAGGAACCCCTGAAGGCGCTCGGGGCAGCCTCCCCGCAACCTCCGCTCACACGCACACAAACACGCGCACAGGGCTGGGGCTCTCGTCAGGCCGTCTAGGGCGCAGGCCTGGTTTTTGTTATATCTTATGCATTCCTAATCATAGTTTACTTTTATTTTACATTTTGAAGAAGGCAATCAGTTTTCAATTAGTACATACATTGGAATTCTTTTTTATGTATAAATGAAACAGATAGATCTAGACTTGCTAGGTAGTTATGTCACACACACACACACACACACACACACACGAAGTGAAAATGCACTTCATTTTAAATTTTACACCTAGGGTTACAGACGTTTCAGGTTACAGACGCTTCAGATTACAGACTCCACTAACCCAGAAATAGTACCTCGGGTTAAGAACTTTGCTTCAGGATGAGAACGGAAATTGTGCAGGTGACAGCAGAAGGCCCCATTAGCTAAAGTGGTGCTTCAGGTGAAGAACAGTTTCAGTTTAAGAACAGACCTCCGGAGCGAATTAAGTTCTTAACCCGAGGTACCACTGTATAGAAAATGTATTCATCTTTTTAGTGAGTTACAGCAGATAGAAAACAACCAGATGGACCTCAGCACCACAAACAAAAGGCAGAAAAGGCTAAGGAGCAAGCAAAGCAAGGGTTATTCCTGAAATACCTTTGTGCACAATTGAAAAACGAGCCCTGAGGGAGCTGAATGCAGTGCTCCTCCTACAAATGATTATAACCCATGGGTAGGCAAACTAAGGCCCGGGGGCCGGATCTGGCCCAAACACCTTCTAAATCCGGCCCATGGACAGTACGGGAATCAGCGTCTTTTTACATGAGTTGAATGTGTGTTTTTATTTAAAGCGCCATTTGTGGGGCATAGGCATTCGTTCATTTTTTAATTTTTTATTTCAAAATATAGTCCGGCCCCCCCCATAAGGTCGGGGGGACAGTGGACCGGCCCCCTGCTGAAAAAGTTTGCTGACCCCTGATATAACCTCTACGGCAGGAGAAAAATCAGAGGAGAGAGAGGAAATGCCCCCCCCCAAGGCTTAGGTGAGTTGGAAGAAGGTGAGGCTTTGGTGCACCCCACAAATTGTGTGCCCCACCCTCACCCCAAGTGCCTCCTCAGTGTCCAGGTTGCTGCACCCAAAAACCAACCCCCTTTTCCCTGGCTGGTGATTGGCCCATTTTAGGGAATGCCTGAAGCTGCACCCTTCCACTTTAACAAATTGTTAAACTGTGGAACTCACTCCCACAAGAGGCACTAACTTGGATGGTTTTAAAAGAGGATCAGGCAAATTAATGGAAGAGGAGAGGGCTATCGATAGCTACCAGCCCTGATGGCTGTGCTCTGCTTTCATAGTTTGAAGTTGTTAGGAGCGGAGAGGGCTCTTGTGCTGGAGTCCCGCTTGCTGGTTTCTCAGAGGTAACTGTTTATCCACTGTGAGAACTAGATGCTGGAATAGACGGGCCTGTTGGGGAGGACCAGGTCCAAGGTGGGTGATCCCCTTGTTGCTTCTTCCACCTTCTGGGAAATGAAATTGTCAGCGAGGCAATGGAGGAATTTGTTGGACCTTACACTCTAGGCAAAGCGTCTCTTGATTTTGACAAAGTCCCCCATGATATTCTTGCAAGGAAGCTGGTGGAATGTGGGTTGAACAAGGAAACTGTTAGGTGGATTTGTAGCTGGTTAACTGACCGAACGGGACGCGGAAGGCACTGTGGGTTAAACCACAGAGCCTAGGACTCCTGTTCGGTCCCTGCTCCTACCAACCTAGCAGTTCAAAAGCACATCCAAGTGCAAGTAGATAAATAGGTACCGCTCCGGCGGGAAGGTAAGCGGAGTTTCCGTGCTGCTCTGGTTCGCCAGAAGCAGCTTAGTCATGCTGGCCACATGACCCGGAAGCTGTCTGCGGACAAACGCCAGCTCCCTTGGCTCATAGAGCGAGATGAGCGCCGCAACCCCAGAGTTTGGTGATGAGCTGCCTAACCCTAAACCCTAAACCTAAACCCTAACCCTAACCTTAACCCTAACCCTACCCCTAACCCTAACCCTAAACCCGAGCCCTAACCCTAACCCTGAACCTTAAGCCCTAAC